AAAAAAAACAACAACAAAAACCCAGAAAATAAGTACTGGTGAGGATGTGGAGAAATTAGAACTCTTGTGTACGGCTGGTGAGGATGTAAATGGCACAGCCACTGTGGGAAACAGTGTGGTGGTTCCTCAAACACTTACACACAGCACCACCATCTGATCCAGCAATTCTACTTTTGAGTATATACCCCAAAGAATTGAAAGCAGCAACTCAAACAGATATTTGTACACCCATGTTCATAGCAGCATTATTTGTAATAGCCAAGAGGTGGAAGTAGCCCAAATGTCAATCAACAGATGAAGGATAAACAAAATGTAGAATATCCATACAATGGAATAGTATCCAGCCTTGAAAAGGGATGAAATTCTGACACATGCCACAACACAGATGAACCTGAAGACGTTATCCTAAGTCACAACAAGCCAGACACAGCAGGACAAATACTGTATGATTTCACTTAAATGCTGTACCTACAATAGTCAGATTCTTAGAGACAGGAAATGGCACAGTTGCCAGAACCTGGACAGAAGGGGGAACGGGTGTTAGTGTTTAATGGGTACGTTTCAGTAGCGGAGGATGAAAGTTCTGGAGATGACTGGGGTGATGACCACACAACCATGTGAATGTGCTTAATGTCACAGAACTACACACCTAAAAATGGTGAAAATGTAAATTTTATGCTGTGATATTATCCAAAACCGAACTTCTCATCTTTACTCCAAAACCTGCTCTAACTTGTCTTTCTAATCTCAGTTAAAGGCAACTCCATCTGTCTAACTCCTCCAAAAATCAAATAGCCTTTGAGTTCTCTCTTCTTCTCACAGCCCACATCCAACCCAAGAGCAGATCCTGTAGGTGATACCATGAGAATACAACCACACACGGCACTGGGATGTTTCAGCCAGCGATGGACCTCCACACACAATGGTGGTCGGAGCAGCAGGCTACACCTCAGCACCCAGGCATGCAGCAGGCTGTGCCATCTAGGTCTGTGTAAGCGCACTCTAGGACGTTCACCCAAGGATGATATCACCTAAACACGCATTTCTCAGAACACATTCCCGTCGCCGAGCAACACGTGACTGTATATCCAAATTCTTAACACAATTCACTGCATCCCGCATGAGTCACGCTAGCACCTGGCACAAGCCTAGGGGCTTATCTTCTGGCTTTTACTCTTGCCTCTCTGTGGTTTATTCTCAATACTACTGCCAGAGTGAGCTTTTAAAACTGAAGTCAAATCCTAACACTCCTCAGCTAAAACCCTCTAATAAAAGTCAGTACCCTGAAAATGGTCAAAACAAAGTCCTACTCAACACCCACCCCCACCCCTCACCTCTCAGAGTGCATCTCCTATAGCTCACACCTCACTGGCCTCCCAGCTGCTCCTGAAACTGCCAGCTCTCACAGCAGGGCCTCTTCCAGCAAGACCTCCCCTACGTAGGTCATGCTTCCTCCCCCAGTTCTTTAACTCTTACATCCCACAGGTGAGAACATGAGATGTGCACACACCTACTTGGAAAAATGCTTCTGCATACCTTATGGAGTATGCACATTCCCCAAGAAAGGTCAGTTTCATTCCTGGTTGCACACTCTGGAGAGACTCACACAGGCACCAGAAGACATGTGGAAAAGTGTTCATAGCAGCACTGTACATAACAGTAATAAACTAAATACAATCCAATGTCCGGCAATAGGAGCATGCGGACATTGAGATGTCATCAAACAATGGAAGGTTACACAACATGGAAAATACCAAAGTGTTAGAAAGATGGATAAATGTTAGAAACATGATGAATGAGAAAAGTTACAGAAGACTTCTGACAGTAGGATACCATTTCTATAAAGCTCAAAAGCAAGAAAACTCACGAATATGTTGTGAAACCCATGCATACATGGTCAACCAATCTTTTACAAGGGTGCCAAGAATACAAAATGGGGAAAGGATAGTTTCTTCAATAACTGGTGCTGGGAAAACTGGATATCCACATGCAAAAGGATGAAACTGAAACCTTATCTCAGACCATACACAAAATGGATTAAGGACTTAAGACCTGAAACCATAAAACTGCTAGAAGAAAACACAGGGGAAAAGCTCTTTGACATTGGTCTTGGCAATGATTGTTTGAATATGACACCAAAAGCACAGGCAACAAAAGTAAAAATAAACGAGTGGGATTACATCAAACCAAAAAGCTCTTGCACGGCAAAGGAAACAACAAGATGAAAAGGCAACCTATGGAACGGGAGATGATCACGTCAACAAAGGGGGCAAAGTTTCAGTTATGCGAAATAGATTCTGGAAATCTATACAGAACAGTGACTGACAGCGACTGTATTATATACTTAAAATCTGCTAAGAGGGTAGATCTTATGTTAAGTGTTCTTACTACAAATAGTCATAATAATAGGGCAGGAGGAAACTCTGGAAGGTGATGGATATGTCTATGACCCTGTGATGGTGATGGTTTCACAGGTGAATGCTTATCCCCAAACTCATCAAGATGTATGCATTAAACATGTATAGCTTTTTAACATGTCAACACCTCAATAAAGTGGTTTAAAAAACCAACAGGTAAATACTGCATGTTTTCACTCATATGTGGAGCTAAAAAGAAAAAAAAAAGTTGAGTGTATAGAAGTAAAAAGTAGAATTGTGGTTACTAGAGGCTGGGAAGGGGAACGGGGAGAGAGAAAGGAAGAGGGTGACTAAGAGAAAAATCACAGCTAGACAGGAAAAATAAGTTCTGTGGTGTACAGGAGCACCAGGCATCTATAATCAACAATAATGTACTGCACGTTCTCAAATGGCTGGAAGAAAGGAGCTCCAATGTTCTCACCACAAAGAAATGGTCAATCTTTGTGATGATGGGTATGCTAATTACCCTGATTTGATCATCACATGCTTTATACACATGTTGAAATATAACTCTGAACCCCACAAAAATGTACAACCAATTCGTGTCAACTAAAAATTAAATAAAACAATATACCATTGAGGGATATCTATACATGTGGTAAAAACCCTTTTCTAAAATGCAAGGAAGTGATAAAGATAAAAGTCAAAATAGGGAGACAAAAGGTAGGGACTGAGGATTGACAGGTAAATCTGTTCTTAGGCTGGGTGCTGAGTTCACAGGCATCCAATTATTTTGCATTATAACATATAACCACCACGTGCTCTTTTGTTTGTGTCAAATATTGCAACATTTTTTCAAAGATGTCCCACACAGAAAGCACTGGGCCGCACCAAATAGTCGGGACATGTTAAATGAAGCCAAATGTACACCCTTAAGGAGATCAAAATCCTACTAAAAGTTACTGTTACATTCACGGCACTTGGTTCTGCTACCGTCATCCAAACTTCCAGAATCTGGAAACTAGCTTTAATATCTCACAGGCATATATTAAAACCTAACCTTATCAATATTGTTCTCGGGTTTATACCAATGCTTCTCTAGAATTTTTAAATAGCAAACTTCTAAAACTGCAAATGAAACTGGTCAGAAAGGAAATTAAGGTTCACCTGTCAATACTATTATCTCTGATGTCCATGGGTTTTCAACTGCTGTTTTACATATATCTTGGTTTAAAGAAAGAAGAGCCCGATGCTTCTATCTACGACCACTATACTTTCTGTATGAAGTATTTTCTACTTAAAAGGTGCTCAGAGATTAACATGCTCGTATTTAAAAATAAGTAATTATAAAATGGCTACCGCTCTCAAGCCTTAGCTTACTTTCTACAACATCCAGCAGCAGGGCAATTACAAATGGACCTTGCTTAAACATATATAAAATACTGATTATTTCCAATGGTCTAGAAATAAATGAGCAAGCATAAATTTTTTAAAAAAAGGCAAATGAAATCACATTCTAAAATTGACAGTAACGATGTGTATAAACCACGAGTCTGTCCACTCCACGAGGCAGAGGTTGCTCCCACACCACTATTCCCAGCACCACCCAGAGACACTCAGTAAATATCTGCTGAATGAGTGAAGCTTTATTTTTATTTTAAAAGATCAGGAAGTTCCCCTCATTCTAAATACCAATGACATACCAAGCAAGACGCCAACAGAAACCTTTTATCCTCACCATCTTGGGTCCTGGGACCTTTCGACATGCACATGTGCAGTAACTTCAGCAGAAGCTGGAGGCATCTGTCAGTCTTTGGCAAGGGCACGTAGGCGTTTGTACCAAACTTCATCAGGGCGTCCAGAAGAGGGTCTAAGAAGATTCTCAACACATTCTGTGTCCGCTGCTTTTCACTAGATAGTAAAGGACATCCACAAACCAACCATCTCAGAAACATGAAGAAATTATTTTCTACCTATACTCTGTGGAATTGGTTAGCTAATGGACTCAGTTAGCCAAGTTACTCTTACAGATGACTGAACCCTGCAGCACCTATGAGAACTGATCTTTCAGTCTGTGCTTCCTCCTGAGTGCAGCCATTCACTAGAGAAGAAAGCACAGGGAAGAACAGCTCTCCTAAACTCTCAGCACCTGGATCCCAACCCCACTCATCTGCAAATTAAACTGCCAAGACCCTGCCTCCATAATATAAAACAAACAAACAAACAAAACACAAAAAAAAGAAAAACCCAAACAAATTAGTCAAGAAAATGAGACATGTTTAAAAGAAAAATACAAAAAACTAGGATTTATGAAAAACTGTTATGACCAACTTTAGTACTAAAACTTTGATTTGATGTAAATCTAATTAACTGTATATTATGCAAATATACTACCTCATCTACATAATGAAGCTGCTTATTGCCACATATATAATCTAGTGAGAATTGGTCCGGTCCCATTCTCAATATATAAACAAAATTGTTTTATATTTATTACCTTTTCTTTTCTTAAATACACATTTTACAAAGAGGTCATATCCAGAATTTTTTTTTTTTACCTCATCTTATGATAGGATCTTAAAACCCATTCTCCTAATACTGATATAAAACCAGTGATTATTATAGATAGGTTTTTTTTTTTAACCTTCTCCAATTTAACATTACATTGTTAAATTTAGTTTAACATTTAATTTGCCAACCTAAGAGAAATCAATATGCCCTTATTCCTATTTATTTACTGTTAACTTTAAACAATTCTTTAGTATTATTTACAAAGTTCTAGTTCCTCCGTTAATATCTTGTGATCAACTCTATACCAATTACTGAAAAGTCTGAATACACATCTGACTGGCCTTTGCTTAAAATAAGCTTTCTTTTCAATTACAGAAATAATTACCTATATTGAGTCTTCATTCCTTCCACATCCACTGCCAGCAAGACCATCAAAGCAATAAGCTTGGCTTCAAACCAATCCGGCATGACGCAGTTTTCTCCTGCTTTAGGAACAATAGGTAAGGTTTACGAAGCATTAAAAAAATCCTTCAAAAATGATACTTCAAAACAACACAGCTAAGTGATTATGCCTGGCCAATATTAAACCACTAGAGAAACACAGCTGAGATGAAATACAGTAGAACACCCCCCGGCAGGGCACATGATCACACATCTGGTACTGGAAGAGGAACAAAATCCTGTCTGCCTGCTGGAGCTGTGCCCAGGCCGGGGGCCACAGACACAGGGCCCCCTACGCTCACAGGATGCACAGCAGTATGGGAGAAAAGCATGGACCAGAGAATAAGCACACAGCTGTAATGCTGTAAGTGCAGTGAGGACTCAAGCAGGGCGGGTGGAGCTACTGGAGGGTCCATCAGAAAGACACACCCACATCGGGGAGCGAGGGGACATTTCCCTGAAGAAATGACAGTCTCAGCATGATGGCTGAGAAGGAATGAGATCAGGGAAGGGGACAAGAACCATCCAGACCAAAGGAAGAGCATGTCATGGGTCCTCTGGCAGGACAAGACACACTGCACTCCAGGACATAGAAGGATGCCTGTGTGTACACTACGTGAGAGGGAATGGCCAGAGACGACGTGACAGAAACAGGTGGGGAGAGACAGGAAAGTTTGTGGGCCACGTCTGTGCCCTGAAGACAAAGTCACTAAGGGCTGATGGACGTGTACACAAAGAAGGGGAGGGGAAATGTGCACAACAGAAATTTGTGTTTTGAAAATATTTCTCTAGGTACAATGTGGAAAAGAGACTGTAGGAGAAGCAAGACGAGATGTCAGGTAACCAGGTAAGGAGGACCTCCACTAGCTCAGCTGAGAGACAAGACTGCCCCGAAGTGTAACCAGAACGGGGATGGAATACACAAGGACACAAAGGCTATGGGGCCTCGGACCTGGGTTGGATCCCCAGGCTGTATTTACTTTAGTAGGGACTAAAATTTATTTACTTGTATAGGCCTTACAAAAGAGTCTTCCATGTAACAGCACAGAAAATTTACTAGACAATAGAGGGAATGAAACAAAAAAGAGAAATGTTCCAGAAGGATAAACTCATGTATTTTGGAAAGATAATTATCTGATCATGTAAGACCTATTCTATGATCAGATTAGAGAAATCACTAGATGACAATGACTTGGTCTGAGACAAAGCTGGGAAATTTAAGACATGTTAAATTGAAAGCTGTAATTTCCCAAATTATGACTAATGACTGTAATGAAGAGGAAGCATTAGAAATGTAAAAAGAATCCTAATTAATGAATCTGCTAAGAGTTCTTCCCTCGTGCGGTCTTACACATGTCCTTAGAGAAGGGATCTCTGCAAAGACCTGGTGAAAAGAAAGGACTAACAAAATCATCCTCTCAAACATAATTTTTCTCTAAAATTGTTCCTCATAATCAGTTCATATTAAACGTAACACTTTGAAAACAAAACAACAAAAAAAGTGAACCAAGTTGCTGACACATACTTCCACTAAGGCTCCAAAAACACATCTATAATATCTCGCTCACAAGGACTCAGTAACTATGGAGTGAATGAATTCATTCATTTGTGTCCAGTTCCTACTCAGGCAACTTATTAGCTTCTTGAAACATATAAAATAGCTTAAAATCTCAAGTCTTAGAACAGATAAGGGACAAGTTAGGAAACAATATCTTTATATTCTGTTATATTATTTGTCTGAAATACAAGTTTGACATAAGGAAATCATCACTCATTGGGTTAGGCCTAAATCCTGATCTAAAAAACTAGTCAAAAGTTCTTCAAAAATATTTTGGTTGTATTGATCCATAAAAATGATTTCAGACTTACTTTCCCAAGCAGGTGACTTAACATATTCCTGAACTAGGTTCTTCACATAAGCATTTAAAGATGTTTCATGAAGTCCAACAGAGGTACAATTTGAGGACTGCCTAAAATAGCTTTCATTTACACGTAACCAGTCACAGAGCTGGAAAAGAAGGTAGTTATTACTTCATTTTACAAACCGAATGAACAAAGAGGGTTTCTAATTTCCCTAGGCCAGTTTTCTTTCATCCACAATAAACTGAATTTAAAACAGTGAGTACAACAAATAACCACTTATTGTCATGACTGAGATCCACAGTACATACAGAAAAAAAAAGTGTATATATGTATATATGTATGTATATGTGTATATTTGTATAAATATATAGATATACACAGATATGTACGTTTGTTTTCTAATCTGCCTCAAAGAATTTTATAGATTTCATTAACAGACAAGAATTTCTGTTTTTTTTTTTTTTTTTTAAAATGACCAGTAAGGGGATCTTAACCCTTGACTTGGTGTTGTCAGCACCACGCTCACCCAGTGAGCTAACCGGCCATCCCGATATGGGATCCAAACCCGTGGCCTTGGTGTTATCAGCACCACACTCTCCCGAGTGAGCCACGGGCAAGCCCAACAGACAAGAATTTCTAAAGTCTAATATAAAATGCACATTTTGATAAGTTGTTCTAAAGAACATCTCTGTGAAAACACATTATGTAAAACAAATTACAAGCTTAAATTAAAACTGCTTCTAGGTTCATATACTAAAACAAGAGCTTTTATTTTTGAATGTAGAATTCGAAATATAAGTTATAATTAAAGTTCCTACTCTCCTCACAAGTTTATTTTCTATCATGTGTACATATCAAAATGTATTAATTTAAAAGAGAAATACTGTCCTAGACTTTCTCCATTACATCTTAGAAGACTGGCAAAAATAAAGCAAAGAATTTCACAATTAATCTTCGATCACATGTAATTGTACATTTTTCATTTTAAAATGTAAATATGTCCTGAATTACTTTTTTATATTCTCTCTCTTAATACACAAATTCAATAAATTAGTTTAAATGTGAAGAAAATAATTATGAATCCATTAAGGTCATCCAAAATCACATATAAGGACAAGAAAGAATAACACATCACTTGACCAAAGATGAAACTGTTGAATGACTGAATTAATGAATTGGTCAAGAATAAAACTGATACCCCACAGACACCAGTGAACGGGCAGTTCACTTAACACAGGACAGCAGTTCTGTGCAGGTTTTTTAACCAAGTCAGATATTAAAACGCAATCTAACAGTAAGGTCAGCCAGTATTTATCTTTTAACTACACAGTTTTCTTTCCGTTCTTTATATTCCTCTGAACTGAGCCTAATCTGAAGCTTTCTATGTGCATTTTCTCATTTCTATTAAGTTTTTCAAAGACTTATTAAATTATTTTCAATCTCACCTCTGTCCACAATAAAGTCCCTCGTCCCAAGGACTCCTCTTGTCTCAAAGACATGAGAAAAGCCGAGACATCTGAAAGTGACACTTTCTCCTGCGCAGGGTAAGGGGGTTTTGAAAACGTTACTCACCTTAATATGTTTGATTGAATAAAATAAAATCACTGTGGCAGCAACTATGTATACTATTTAAAACAGAATATTATTAGTTAAAAGAAAGCTGTATTTTGAAAAGAACATATTACTCGACTTTTAAAATGAAGATTTCAGTTGCAATCTTTCATTATATAACATGAAAGATTATTTTTAAAATCTATTTTCCTTACAGCTGAGGTTACTATCTTGAGCAAAGACAGTTACAATCATTAAAAAAAAAGAGATCATTCTATAATAAGAAATTACTTTCAATCAAAAAGTGATTTTTTTCAAAGTGGTTTTCTTTATTCAAAAGTTTTCTGAAAAAAAAAAAAAAAACCACCACCTAGGCCTTTCATTCCCTTCAGGTTGCACATCTTGAATTAAGATACCTTGCTCCAGGCCAGCGGTTGGCAAACCTACTCACAGCCTGTTTAGCAGATAAAGGCTTGTGGGAACACAGCTGTGCCCATTTATTTATAAATGTCTATGGCTGCTTTTGGCTTCAGTGGAAGAGTTCAGAAGTCACAACAGAGACCACCACATGGCCGGCAAAGCCTAAAAAGTATTCACTATCTGGCTCTTCACAGAGAGAGTGTGCTGACCTCTGTTCTAAGCAATAGCTTTTACTGGGGCCCTGTAGAAAGCACAAAATAAAGCCAGCAGATACTCCCAAACATCAATACACTGGAAGAATAGAGGAAAGTATGGAGGAAACAAGGTACAAGTCCAGAGCCCTCTCCCAAGGAGTCGGCAGGACGTGACTGGCTCCCAGCCACCAGCTGCGAGAACACTTGGAAACGTTGTCTGCCAGGCAGGCTTGCTAGAGGCTCAGTGCCCGGGGCTTTTACAGGCACCCCTGCCTCATCACACTGAAATTCCAGATCCCAGAAGGCAGGCAGGTGCTCTGCACAAACCATACTGTCTATACAAACACTTTCAGCCCAGTGGGCCACTCTTATCATTTAGTATAGTGTAAATCCTTCCCAGATGCCAGCCAAGGGCCAACCTCATAAGCAAGCCCTTCTTCTAGTGGCAGCAGCACAGGCCTGCTGTGTTAACTAACTTTTGCATACCCACTCACTAGGATTGTATACGACAGTATCAAAAAAACTTACCACATCCACCAAATTCATTGCTGTTTGAAGAAGGTAGCACTGGGCTGCCCCTCTCAGTAGGATCTGGTGTGTGATCATGGTACACTGAATGACATCCCTGACATCAAAACACAAAACGCATTTCCATACACCCAAAGACAATTCTGGTCATTTATAATTACTGACAAGCTGACTTACAACACCTACAAGTTCTAAGGAAGAAAGTCACTGTCAGTAGAATTTCAAAGCCATCACTTTCCATGATGGCCTCTAGTAGAGCTCAATTTTAATATGAAACAAATATCTTTTAAAAATAAGACTATAAATGAAGATGCTTTTTTTTTTTTTTTCCTTTTTGTCTTTTTTCGTGTCCGGCAACAGATC